GAGCTTCTCTAACGAGGGCGACGGACTAGGACCTTGCACTTGTAGGAAAACTGTGGAGTCGATTTGTGACAGATAATTTTTAAATAAGAAATTTGTATATACAATGAATGTTTAGCCAAGTTAATTGCTTTTTAACAATATCAGCTAAATGAAAAAAAAAAAAAAACCTTGGATTTTAATGTGGTAACTATATTCTACAGTTTAATAATTCTACAGATAAATACTAATAACATAACACGAGATACAAAACTTGTTTTCCATACAAAAGTAGTCTGCCTGTCTTAAGTTATTAATTCAATGTTAACAAAATTACAAGTCTTAAAAATAATCTTGCAAGAGCATTAAATAAATATAACATAACACGACTCCGCTGATGTCTTTATGCGGGGCAGTTGTGTCCGGCGTAGCGGCGTAGCGTCCAGTGCGCCGTGTTTATTGCAATCTGGCGGCTAAATGCTACTGCTTACCCGGCTTATACTGCCCTTTTGTTATACCAGAATTTACCATATAAATGTCTATTATATACCATTTAATAAACTTATTTATCTTAGATACAGGTTACGCTGTTGATTGAAACTTAAAAAAGTTATTTTTTTGGTATATTTTTTTTTAAACTTCAAGTCACCATAATCATCCTCCTGTAGGGTCGGCACAGCAGGTTTTTGACCTCCTCATAACTTTAACATATACCCTTTGTGATAATATCACTCAACCGGTTTTTTTAAAGTTCAAGTAAGAAATTTATATCAAAATGTTAACTGTTAATTAAAGTATTATAATAAGCATTAATTTTATAAAAATGGATAGCAATAATTTTATTTGCCGTCTTATAAGTAGACTTTTATTATAAAACTTCTTTTTTTTAACCAGTAATTTCATGCAAAACGAGTGGTTGGTTATTTTGGGTATAGAAAGTATTCTCTGAATGTATGCAAAGCAAAATACAATTTATTAATCGGCGGCCGCCGCTTATTCTCTGGTCAGCCAAAGGGTTGTTGAACTATCTCCCTCGGCCCTTAGCCCTCGCAAACAATGTGCCCTCTGTGTGCACGGACTTAAATAAAAGGTTTGATTTTGTGTTGTAAGGGAGCCTCGTTCAATATTTGAGCAGTGGACCGACCGATCTGCATTGCCTTATACTCCTTAGAGGTCTATATTAATAAAGCTTTTACTCTTGTAATGTAATATTAATAAACCAGCCTTAGATATCACTGATGTCAATCACAAAAACATACAGTTCTAAGATTTTATGAGTGAAAAACACGAAAAGTGATCGAATTTCTTTTTCGGGGGCACCGAATACAAAACTATCAATCACCGATTCTCTTATCTTGTACGTTATGTTTTTTGATGTTTTTTTTTTTAATTAATAATCCTCTCTGTAATATTGTTTGTATTGTCTCTCTGTTATCTATAGATAATAATACTTTAACTACTCGATAACCTAAAGAACATCTTATTATTTATTGTTAAAAATCGTAATGTATGTTATTTGCCTCTTCTTAAGATTAGCAAAATTCGGTTTTGTCCATTGTCGTTCACTCAAATTATCAGTGAATTTGAACCACTATAATACTCACTCTTTAGTTAAGAAATATGATTCTTACCGCTTGTAACTCAGGCCGCTTTGAATTTAGTACTACGATCTGACAGGAAAGGGGAAAAACAAGTAAAAATTAGTCTGTCAGTGATGTGACCCTATCCCCCTGTAATCATTTGCTCTTGTATTTTTCTTTCCCATATCTAAGTTACATTAATATTTTAACTGACTATCCAGATATTCAAATGTCACATCACTAAGATAGTAGCTTTAAGTAGGAACATTAAAAGGAAGGGTTGATTTTGAAAGAAGCAGTGCCGATTTTATACTATTTTGTCTGTATCTTGCGTGATCATTATTTAGCAGCTAAGACGCGAATAAAGCTCGCGTCAGGTTGCTTGTGAAATGACAGCTGCAACGGGCAGCTCTAATGGCTATCAAGAGGACCGAACATGACATGAAACGAAATGGGTGAGATTTGTCAACGAGTTCATAGACCATCGACTCTATTACCAAGCAGTTAAGGTTACATTTGAATGATTAAATTGAGAATTGAAGAGAGACAAGAGGGTTGTAAAGTTTAATATGAATGCATTGTTGTTTGAGATTTATTGCATTGTAACTGAAGATTTTCTTAACGAAATGCTATTTGATGATGCAGCTGTTTATCTTGAAACTAATACTTGTGCAGTTTATAAAACTGAAAGCAAAATTAGATGGTGTTTTTTTGCCAACTCTAATAACAGTTTTACGTTGATCATTAAACATCTCATTTCGCATTTAGAATTGTTCTGATCTAAACAGAGATTGGAAAATCAAGTTTTATAGGCATTGGTATTGTATAAAATAGTTTTAAATCTACAAAAGATTTTGCCAGACTGCGAAGTATGAAATAAATTAAAACATAAGAGATTTATCTAATAATATCTATCATCTGATACTTAAGTTACTTAACACTTACCTGGTTCTAATTACTTATAAGTTTAGGTTTTCCGAGAGATAAAATGTTTTTTTTTTTTTTATCATAAGGTGGCAATCGAGCAAGCCAGCTGAATCCTTCAAACTTGAAAGCTACCGCAGCCCATAGATATTCGCAATAGCGAATGTGTTTCCTACCCTTCAGCGACGGAGGAGGAGACACACATAAGACGATGCTTCCCTTTCCTGTGTGTCTACTCCACCGTCATTTAAGTTTACTTCCCAACCTTAATTTATAAGAAAAAAGGGTGGTAAAAGAGTAGTTGTTTACAAAATTTAATTTCACCTTTATTGAAACTAGACAGAATAGTGCTACAGAAGGGAGTTTAAACTGCTAAGTGTCAACTTAATCCGCAAGAAGGTGCTCGTATCCCAGCAACGGTTAACAGGCTTCGTTAACTTCATATTACGAGACCCCCTCACATTTAGAAACGATCCCGTTTCTACACCTACTAAGTATGTAAAACTTAAGAGCAGAATTCTCTATGATAAAGTTTTGTATCGAGGTTTTTAATTTTTTAATCTTATTTCTACTAGCAAATATTTGTAGAAAACCGTATGTTACTAATAATGTAATTGCGAAGGTTCATTTGGATGGATGTTCAAAGGTATCTTCTAAACAGCTGAACTGATCTCGCTGAAATTTGGCTTAGATGTAGAGCATAGTCTGGAAAAATGAATAGGTTACTTAACCATTTTGTTTAATTCCGCGCCGACGACGTTTTGGGCAACAACTAATATTATAATAGTTAAGAACATTATCTCCATTACCATCAGTGTATACCAACGTTTTGTAAAGGTTTTTTTGCCTTTGGAAAAACAACTTAACCGGTATTTTTGTATACTTACATAGCACACATGATTACGAGAGCCTTGGTTTTCTAAAAGTCTTTACGAATTCTTATAAATAACATTCAACCCATTGTAGGTTAGGTTATAAAAAAAACAAGTAACAAATAAATATTTTATTTTATTTACATCGTATTTTTTAATAATAACCACTTTGACGTACTTTATTTAATTACATTTATTGTACTTACTACAACACATTTATAAATATCACTACGAATGTAACAAAGTTACAAATACCTTGTTTGGATACACGTAGCAATAGCGTAGCGGTCTACGAAAGACAACTGAATTCAACCTGCCCAAAAAATTACTTGTAGATTTTTGTTACAGTGGTTTGTATATTTTCATATATGTATATATAAATGCGATTAAATACTACCATAGTCTAAAACATTTTCATTATACACTCTTTTTATTTAAGGTAAAAAAAAATAACAAATCATTGAAATTTTTTCAGCCACCAAATTGTTGTAACCCAAAACATTTATGCTTATTTCATCACTAATCACTGAAATATTGTATGATTAAAAATTAGAAAGTCGATGGTTTTAAAAAAAAAACACATTCACCGTCAATTTTGCCACGCAAAATGACGCAACTATTGTAGGTTTGATGGATCAAAGTTAGCATCATCGCCGGCGACGGGTGCTGTGAGCTGCTACGGCAAGCGGGAGCCG